GGGGTGCATGTGTGGGGGGGTGTTGCGGTGCTGTGTGTGTGAGGCGTGGGAGGGTGCGTGCGTGCATGGGGTGTGTGCGGTGCTGTGTGTGAGGCGTGGGGGGTGCGTGCGGTGCTGTGTGTGAGGCGTGGGGGGGTGTGTGCGGTGCTGTGTGTGAGGCGTGAGGGGTGCGTGCGTGCGTGGGGGTGTGTGCGGTGCCGTGTGTGTGTGAGGCGTGGGGCGTGCGTGCGTGGGCAGGGCAGTGTGTGTGTGCGTGCGGTGTTGGCGAGCACTGGAAACCCCTTCCTTGCTCTGCAGCTGTCTCCCCCAGAGATGTGGTAGAAGCTTGGCATGGGGGCGCGGCTGAGGCACTGTCTTTAACCTGAAGGCGGCTGGCTGTCCCGGTCTGCGAGCTGCCATCACAGAAACACTGGAGACCCGGTGATTAAACAGCAGACTTTCACTTTCTCGTGGTTGTGGGTGAGGGGACGTCCAGGATGTGCCGTTCCTCTGGGCAGGCTGGCTGCGGTCCGGGGAGGCCCTTCCTGGCTGCAGCCTTCCGGCGGAGGGAGCCTTGGGGGCTCTTCTGTAAGGACGCTGGTCTGCACTGGACAGCCCTGCCCTGTGACCTGTCCCCTCCCAGAGATCAGGGGTTCAGTGGATGAATTTGGCACAGATGTTCAGTTCCTAACAGTGGTCTTTCCGTTTTTAACCCCCTTCCCTTCCTTTTGTCTGTAAAGGGTCGTCCAGTGGTGATCGTAGTGGTTTGCTGGGGTCACTGCACCCTAGAGCCTGTGTCTTGGGATGGCAGACGCGTGCTGTCTTCCGGCCCTGGGTGGCTTCTGCTGACCTGCGGCCTGTGGGGCATCGCCTGGGCCGTGGCCGCCTGCTCCTCGTGTCTGCTCAGCGTCTTCCCCCGTATGCAGTGGTCTCTGTCCAGATTTCCCTCTTGGCCAGAACAGGAGTTGTGCCGGGTTGGCACACGCGGGTGCCCTGTCTGTGCAGAGGAGGGCGCACCTGAGCCCTGGGCTAGGACGCCAGCATCCTCCGACTGGCACAGTTCAACCTGTGGCGGCAGGTTTCTGTGAACACAGGTGAATTCTCAGTTTATTTGGTGCTCACCCGTGAGCTTTTTTGAGACCAGGCCCTGTGTCTTGTTTGTCTCTGTGTCCCCCACTCCTCACTTGGCCTGGCCCCTCATGGTGCCCATAGGATGCATGCCTAGAGGTTGGCGTAGCTGTGAGGCCACCTTGGGATGCTCGTGCACAGCGCATGTGCGGTCGCTGTGTCTGCCCCTGCCTGGCAGGGCCTGCTTTATACCTGGGCTCCCGTTTCCACTGGTGGGCATGGAGCTGTTTCCTGCCTTTTGCTTCAAAGAGTTCTCTCAGGTGTGCAAGGTAACCAGAGGATAAATTCTTGGAAGTACTAATTGCTCAGGCAGACAGCACATACGGTATAAATTGAGATGAGTGTCACCAAAATAAACTGAGTGGAGGCGATGCCCGTTTGAGTTCCGGTCGTGCGTGTGGCCACGTGCTCCCTGGCCGTCGTCACGACTCTGTCCCGGGTGCTGCAGCCCAGGAGGACCCGGCGCCACCGCCATGAGCGCACGTCTGTGGCTGGCGGTGCGGGCGGTCACTCTGCACTTCTCTTAACGGCAGACGAGGCTGAGTAGCCTTTCTGTTTCAAGAGTTTTAAGCCATTTTTTTGTAACGGTGAACGTTTAAACCTGCCCTGGAGGACCAGCCTCTCGTCTGTATTTGCGTGTCGCGCTAGCCGCCCGTGATGGGGGTTGCAGGTGTGTTCCCCCTCATTTGCGGTGTGTGGTTTTCCAGGCAAAAAGTGCCTGCGTAGCAGAAGTCAGATTCTGCTCTCTTACGGCTCCTTGGTTGGAGTCACAACTACAGAGGCCTCCTTGGTCCACGAAGGAAGGCCTTCTGTGGTTTCTCCTAGAGCCGCACAGCCTCGCACCTCAGGTTGACGTCTGGTCCACTTGAAGCCTGCCTAGCAATAAAGTGACGGGAGGAACATACTTGATCATGCAGTGTTTATCATTTTAATGTCTGGTAAAACCTATCTTCCTCTTACCTTTTACATTTTCCTTATTATTTTTGTTTATTGATTTTCTCATAGAAAGTGCAGAATCAGGTCCAGGTCTGTGAAGGAAACATTTCTGCGCTTTGAGTGGGGTCACCCCAGACTTGCAGGTGAACTGAGGGCAGTGACCTCGGGATGTGTGGAAAGCACCACAGCTCGTCGTCTGCTCATGCCCTGTAACATGTTCTCAGAGGTTTCATGACGTCTCAGGTCTGTTTCTAGGTTTGGGCTCTCGTGTCGCTTGGGCCACCTCCTGTTGTCCTGCTGTATCTTGAACTCATCTCTCCCCCTTGCTTTAGAGAGTTTTAAAACCTCACGGCCCTGCGCCTGGTCAGAGGGGCCCTGTGCCCGGCGGAGGCGTCTGTCTGCTCATCCTGTGTGGCCCTTGGGCTGCTCCTCTGCCAGTCCTTCTGGGACCATGGCTCCCCTGGACTGAGGAGATGCTTCGTGTCAGGGAGGCCAGAGCTGTTCCAGGTGACAGGGACTGCCCCTCGGACAGAGGCCTGTCCTTGTCCTGCCCAGTTCCTGTCTCTGCTGCCAGGCTGCCTCTGGAGACGGCTGGGCCGTGCTTCCTGGGCATCCAGCTTCTGGCACCTGGGGACGTGGCACCCAGCCCGGGCAGGGGCACTCCCGCCTCCAGGATGGGTTCTTTTGGTTCCAGGCGGAACCTAGGCTGATGCCAACTGTGGAGACATCTGTGGGCTTTGACTCAGATGCTCCGGGGACCCCACATTTTTTGGCTTCATACAATTTTTCAGATTGAAATATTCACAGAGAATTCATTCTTTTAAAGTGTACAGTTCTGTGTTTTTGGTATGTTTACAATACTGTGCGATCATTGCCACCATCTGATACCGGGACATTTTCGCCAGTCACTCCCTGCTCCCCCTGCCTCCAGCTCCAAGACCACCGTCCATCCCCCTTTGTACGTCTGTGGATTTCTCTATTGTGGATATTGCATGTGTACAGGGACCCGCCCCCGCCGGCTGTGCTCTGTGGTGTTCGGCTTCTTTCCGAACTTTGTGCTGGCAGCTCCTCCGCGTTGTCACGGGTGCCAGTGCTGCCACCTGTCCCAGGCGGTGCTCCGCAGGGTAGTGAGCAGCACTCTGTCCGTCCATCCAGCAGACGATGGAGCTGGCTGCCTCTGCTCTTCGGCTCTGCTGAATGCAGCCCTTCACGCACAAGGCCTGGGGGGCGTGTGTCTCTGTCCCTCTGGGTCAGCACCTCGGCCTGGGCTGCTGGGCTGCGTGGTGATCGACCGGTGCTTGTCTCTCTGAGGAGCCGCCAGGCAGTTTTCCTGTTTTCCGCACCCCCTCCCCAATTTTCCTGGCCTCGGCCACACGGGCCGTCGCCTTCGTCTTAAATTCTGGCCGTGGCGTGAGAGATGGCCCCTGCCCTGCACGCCTGCAGCCTCTGCTCTGCTGAGCATGCCGGGGCCGCCTGCCTCCTCGGGGCCCCCCACACGACTGGGCCCACCTCTCCACACTCCATAGGCCCCCCAGCAGGCTTCCTGAGGGGCACTGGTGGCTCTCGGAGGGGCCAGAGCGAGACCAGTGTCCTCCGTGTCCGCCCACCGGAGGCTGTGTGCTGCTGGGAGCTGGGTGGGGGCGGTGGGGAGAGACAGCCGCTCCGGGGGAGGGCAAGCCGTGGGCCCGGGTCGGGGCACTGGATGTAGATGGCGCTGCGACCAGGCAGAGACTGTGGCAGCCTGGGGAAGTGGGGTGGCCCTGGGGTGGGTTCCTCCAGGGGTGGGGCCGGGTATGGGGGCAGTTGAACGGCCCTGCTCAGCCCCGGGCCGTGCCGCCCAGAGTGCACGTGGGGCCCTGGGTGGCGGGGGGCTAGGCGCCCAGGACTGTCACCTCCCTCTCGGCAGATGAAGGGCGCCCTCACGGAGATCATCCAGCTTGCCACCCTGGATTCGGACCCCTGGGTTCTCATGGTAGCTGACATTCTGAAGTCCTTTCCTGACACCGGATCGCTTAACCTTGATCTTGAAGAGCAGAATCCCAACGTTCAGGATATTTTAGGAGAACTTAGAGAAAAGGGTAGGTTGCATGTGCTTGGTTTATGCTGGGATGGGGGAAACACGCCTTCCTTCAGAGCACCTTTTCTCTAACGGATGTGACTCTGAGGGGCTGTGTGTGTACTGTGTGGTGCGCTGTGGTTCCTGAAACGCTGACTGTGTGCACACGTCTCCCCTGCCCCCGCTGCTGCCGTCTGGGTTTTTGCCAGCCTGTAAAAAGCAGCTGCCCCCTCACTGCACTTCCTTTGTCTCATGGATCACTGACTTTGTTTCATGTTCACACGCTCCCTCTCCGCACGCAGCCCCACGAGGACACGGGCACTGGGACACGCCGTGGCGCAGAGTAGACGTGTGTTGGAAGTAGCAGTAGGCCCCTTGTTTAGGACGTGAACTGGAAACCCACTTAGCAGACGCCTGCAGGTGGTCTGAGAGGACAGAGCTGAGGAGGACTGCTCCTCTCCTGGTTTGGAGACTGGAATTGGCAGCCCTTAAAGATGGAAGCTGCCCTGCGGGGCCACCCCCACACCTCTGTCACTTCTGAAGCCTCTTCTCAACCACGAGAACTCACTCTTCTCTGAATTTTCACTTGCTTTGTAACTGCCCAGATTCTGAGAACTACATAGATTCTTCCAGAGCAAACCCAGGATGTCTCTGTGCTGATGATTACCTCGACGAGGGTCCAGACAGGGCCACGCCCACCTGGGTGTCATCTCTTAGGTGGGAGGTTGGTCCTCCTGGGGCAGGAAGGGCAGGGTTGGGGCTGGTCTGTGCTTCCCCCCGCCTCCGGGTCGGCCTATTAACCAACCTGGGCAGCAGGGACGACTGCGGGGGGGAAACCGAGCTGGCCGCAGACCTTCCCTTCCCGCCGCTTGCTCTTGGGGTGCCTAAAACGCCCTCCAGAAATAGCTGTACTGATGGGAACCTGTGTCCCCAGCCTTCCCGCCCAGCAAGTCTGGGGTGGGGCCCAGGCACCTCTGCCTTTAAAAGCTCCCGGGGGATTCCGATGGGCCCCTTCCATCCTCGCCCAGGTCAGTGGCCTTGATGGCTGAGTGATGGCAGACAGTTTGTGGACCCCTGTTTTCTGCGTTGCAATCAAAGCAGCAGCTCCAAGACTGTACGCAGGAAGCTGCATTTTGGGTCCTCTTAGCCTCAGCTGTGAGAGCCGAGGCCCAGGCAGGGACCGCCCCCCTAACATGTTGGTTCTTGAACGAGCAGTGAGTGAGTGTGAGGCGTCGGCCATGCTCCCGCTGGAATGCCAGTACCTGAACAAGAACGCCCTGACGACCCTCGCGGGGCCCCTCACCCCCCCAGTGAAGCACTTCCAGCTGAAGAGGAAGCCAAAGAGCGCCACGCTGAGGGCGGAGCTCCTGCAGAAGTGTGAGTGGCTGTCCTGCCGGGCTGCTCCGCCAGGGGCCCGCGGACTGGGGAGCGCCCACTGCCCAGCAAACTGTGCTTTTGTCTTATGTCTGCAGTTGTTAAATTTCCTCTAGGTTTTTGGTACCTAAACTGTCTTTTAAAGACAGAGTCCTACGTAGTTGTTGTTTCTTTTATTTGAAATTTATTGATGCCATGCTAAACCGTGTGTTTAAAAACCTGCCTTAGAAACTTCCCAATTTCCAGGTTACAGTATTTATAATCTTTGATACAAAAGTGACCTCTGTACCAGTTGTGTGACACTGGTGATGAGACTGGCAGCCTGGGAGGGACTGCGCCTCACTCCGTAGCTCCTCACCCCTTCAGTAGTACACGGTCTCAGTTTGACCCTAAAGATGCTGGGTCATTTCATGTGATGTTTTCTCAGACGGTGCCCTGTAACGTGTCTGTGCAGGGATACTTGCTGGGAAGAAGACAAGGAAACTGATTCCTCTGACCGGTGGTGGCAAAACTTCTGTTGTAAATAGTTATGATACTGATATTAATGCCCGGTTTTCAAAGAATCCAGATGAAACACAGCAGGCATCATGACCCTTGGCTGCAGATGGACAGTGTCCGGGTCAGCACTGCTGTGTGGTTTTGTGGAGCTGGCAGCATGCAGCCTGGGCCTCAGACCTTTCCACGCACCCTCTGGCAGCAGAACCTGGTGCCAGGCGCTGGGCTCTGTTCCTCCCTGAGCTGTGTCAGGAAAACCCCTTGTCTTTGTGC